GGTCGTCGTTCATCGAGCCCGTCACGTCGAAGACGAACGCGAGGGTGGCGGCGCCATGCGGAATGTCGACGTTGACGAAGTTGTCGGCGTATGATGCATGAGAGCTGGGCACGCCGGCAGCTAGCAAGAACAGCAGCAGTGCCATCCACCGTCCTCCTCCTCCTCCTCCTGCTGCTGCTGCTCCTCCTCCTCCTCCTCCTGTTGCTGCTCTTACTCTTCCTCCCGCTGCTGCTGCTCTTCCTCCTCCTCCTTCTGCTGCAGCTACTGCTGCTCGCCTTCCTCCTCCTCCTCTTCCTCCTCCTTCTCCTCCTTCTCCTCCTGTTCCTCTTGCCATCATTCTCGGTGTCGTCACCATCCTGAGTGTCCAACAACGCGATGTCGCGCGCACCAACCAGTCGACTACGCAACTATCCGCGCTGCTGTGGCAAGCGAGAACTGCGGGCGACCTCTAATCGAAGAATGAGTGCGTCTATCGCCGCTAGATGGCGTAGCGCGCGACGTGTTTCCAGGACCAGCAGCTGCTGCTGCGCGCCGGTTAGCTGAAGCCCTTGCTCTAGCTATTACTCTCTCTTGTATAATCAAACAGGCAGGCCCGCGGCGGCGCGCGAACAAACGACAGTCTGACACTTATTTCTCACCCGGGCAGAAGACTCACGATCGTCCCATCTCGATGGGTCACCAACCGAATTCACCAGTCCTCACCGATACATCGAGTTAAATGTACGATTTACGTCAGACGAGGACGAATCGACAACAGTTTCTATAGGGTGTAATCACACGTGGGATAGTAATACTGAGTTGGATCGCAGAAGACTAGAAAGGTATTTGAACCTACTCGCCGGTCCTGCCGCGTGGTGGCGGCTGTTGCTGTGTATCCTCGTCTGAAGCACTTGTTATTTCCTTAGCAACGCAGGTGAAACTAGTACGGCACTCACAGAGATGCGGAGGCTGATGTTACCAAGGCTGCTGATCAAGGATGCAAGTCAGGGTCGTGTGTGCTTGGATTCAGTCCTGTATATCTCACCACCACTCTCTCTTTATTTATTTCACTTTCTCTCGCTGTCTCTCTTTCGCCTTTCGCGCACTCTTTCTCTCTCTCTC